GGAGCGCCCCCCCCCCCCCCCCCCCCCCCCCCCCCCCCCCCCCCCCCCCCGCCACACCGGCACTTGCTTGTTGGCATACTGACACAGTAGGAGAGATGACGCATCTCACTCAGGCACACATCTCATGTCCCTGGATGGCACTTGCTGGGATCCCGGCATTGCAAGCCGGCTGTCTAAAGACCTTGTTTAACAAGTTATGACAAGGAGTTGCAGGGCTTCTCTGCAGCAGGGTGAGCTCCAGGGACTTAGAGGCTCAATGGAGCAGAGGACGCGGGTCTGGAGCTTGACTAAAGGATTAAGCTAGGACTCATCACTGTGTAGTTGGTGGGGTTTGAACAAGCTGCTTTGACTTTGGTTCTTCCTTCCTCCTTTTTGTTTTTCTTTTTCTGTCTCATCACTTATTAAATTAGAACAATAGCAGTATGATACCCTCCCAATAAAGCATTTGTGACTATTAAATGAGCTGCTGTAATGTCCTTGGGGACTGTTTAGTAACTATCATTATCATCATTACCACCAGCTCATCTTTCTGGCTGTTTGCTGGCAGGCATGGTTCCCTTTCTGAGTAGCTCAAACTTAAGTCCTCTGACTCTTTGATTTCTAACAAAGAAAGGGAAACAGATTAGAATGGAAATCTACAATTTCCGGGCAATCATGACACACCTTTCCCCGTGAAGTCAAGCACCTGAAAAGTCCCCTAATATGATGAGCTCTTGGGAGCACTGAGCAATTTCCTCTGTTTTAGGACCCAGAGAGTACAATTTAATATCCTTTTAGATTGAGGGATGGCAGTTAATTTGTATTAAATGTATTAAGTCAAGAGAAATTCTACTTGATGAAAACACAAAAGAATATTATTCTCTTGGACAAAAATTGGAGAAAGCAGATTTCTCAGAAGAACCTCCAAGCAAGTGTGTTGCCTGATGCACAGGGGGAATGTCTGGATTGGTTTGCTTCAGGGATTTCATTTAGTATTGGATATGTGAATTTTTTGTATCATTAATATCAAATTATTAATTTATTAAATACATTTATAACTATGTTAGAAAATATGTCTTCATTTTTTTAAACAAAGACTATTTTTGTTTGTTCAAATGAGAAGGGCAAATGGTACTACCTCAACTTAGTTTATTTAAAGAAGCATTGGGTTTATTTGCATGTCATGGTGTGTGTGTCTCATGTGTGGGGTGTTCTTGGAGACCAGAAGAGGCCACTGGATTCTTGGAGCTAGAGTTATAGATAATTGTGAACTATCTGACTTGAGTGCTGGCAGGTCCCCTGAAAGAACAGCAAACACTCATAACTTCTGAGCCATCTCTCTAGCACCAACATTTAAAATGATATTACTTTGTATGCTGACTTAAATACATCACCTTAGAAAGGAAGAAAAATGGAGAGATTCTGCAGTGAGGATCCCAGACTCCAAACTGTTTGATTTGGGAAGTCCTTTTGTATATGTGTTGCTTTTATTGGTTAATGAAAAAGAAGATGCTTTGGCCTGTGATAGGGCAAAATAGAGTTAGGCAGAAAAACTAAACTGAATGCTGGGAGAAAGTAGGCAGAGTCAGAGAGATGCCATGTAGCTACCCCCAAAGGAGACAGACGCTTGGGAACCTTTCCAGTAAACCACGAGCTTCGTGGTAAAATATTAAATAATAGAAATGGATTAATTTAAGATGTAAGAGCTAACTAGGAATATGCTAGTCATTAGCCAAACAGTGTTACAATTAATATAGTTTCAGTGTGATTATTTCAGGTCTGGGTGGATGGGGAATGAATAAGCAGCTTCCATCAGCAACTGCTCCCTTCAAAGAATAGCTTATTTTCACTGGCTTGCAATTCTCTCTCACAAGTCCTTCAGGACCTCCATCAGTCAGGTGGTTTGGGGAGGCTCAGAAGAGCGAACATATTTCATACATTCAATATATGTTATTTTCCCTATGACCTTTTTGACTTAAAATAAATCTACCATATATATTCAGAAAAATTAAACAGTGGAAGTATATCCTGAGTCATCCTGAGAATAGCTATGGAAAAAGTGTAGTCTGGGCTGAAGGTTCTGTAGACTAGTTTGTACTGGGAATATTATTTAACTTTTGCCAGTTTTTGTTTTGTCATTTGTAAAAGTCTACTGTGAAAACTTCAGAGTGAAATCCATTTTTTGTATGTTAATTAAAGCAAATGTTGATCTGCTGTAGCAGATCCAAGAATTGACAGATTCAAGAATTGTTAGCATAGCACACACTAAACATTAGCTGTTATTGTTATACTTAGTGAACAGTGTCAAGTGACCGATGGAGTTTTAAAAAGTGGTGTCGCCTGGAAAGACACTTGGAAATGGAGATTGAATCCTTCAGACCCCCCTTTTTTCCCTCTGAGAGTCAACCCTCTTCTGCTCTGACAGCCAGATGTGAAAGAGTCTGTGTCCTTTCTCTTTGAAATAGCATGATTTTAATTCATTAGGTTGTTTTATAACCTCAGCTCTCCATGGGCCTGAAAAGGTATTTGTTTTGTAGCCTCTACTGCTTCCTCTGGCTGTCAGCATGGGAGCAGCATCCCCATGGGGTTTAGATCCTAACAGCAAGAAGAGTCACCTACCTCTTCTTCCTTTGACATTCTTGGAAGTAGCTCCCTTAACTACTGCTGAGAGACAGACAAAGACCTTGGACAGTTAAGCTGGACATCACCCAGCTCTGTGAATCGTCCCAAGAAATGAGCATCTTTAAAGAGACGCCTCTTAAAGCTTCCTCTGCAGCTTCTTCACTATTCACTGCAAGGCTTTCAGCCAGAAACCAGGTTGATGGACAAGTTTCCTGATGTGTCTCAAATCTGGGAGTATCAAGTAGTGTGGAAATGGACACAGAAGGACAGCGTGTTTCTCTCTTATCTCTCCAACCTTTTTGTTTCTTTGTATTAGATAAAGAAGAAATCCAATCAGAAAACTTTCATATGTGTTAAAGTGACAAGCGTGCAGAGAGTAGCTTTCCCAGGTTTACCCAGTGTGAATGGCGAGTAGACACAGTCTATTTTTTCACGGCATAAGCAAGTCATCCTATGCTGTAATGAAAGCTGAATGAGTGATACACCCACAGCCTCTTGATGGATGGCATAGTTACCGTCTCTAAGGAAATTCTCTAATCAGTTTAGCCCTTAAGATTGCTAGTGGTCCCTCTTGACGTTAAATGTCAGGGAGTTTATTACACTGTTTTATTACTCTGTTAGAACGGTATTATATAATCTTAGCCACATGCATTCTCTTTATCCCTTTGACCTCCTTATTCTCCTGAGTAGAACATTTAGATTAGCAATAAATAAGCTTAACAGGTAAATATGCCCCCACTTGTTAGAAGTCCTCCATTTCAGGCCTGAGAAGAGGAATGCTGTCTATTCCTATAATTTACTACTGAGAGTGAGGTTATACAGAGAATAAGTAGGGGTTCCCAGGCGATTTGTGTCTGATGGTGTATTACAGTCAGAACATCTCAAGGTAAGGTGAGAGCTGAAGAACCTGGCCTGTCTCAAGGATGTAATTCTTTCCACGGATGGGGAAAAGCCGACACTCATTCAGATTAAGTAGACGATGTAAGTATTTAGGGTCAACCTAGAGACAGAGAGAAAAGACTGACCCTCTTATAGAGAACACAGTGGGGTCTGACGATAAATGAATGGCATTGTTTTCTTCCAAGCTCTTCTAGAAATTCATTCCCTTCTGGTCCATTCGACATCGTAAAATAAAAAGATTTTAGCCAATGGCATGAGACAGACCAGCATATTGGGTGTTTACTTCTAACAGTCTAAAGTCATTGACTTAAGGGTAGGTTGTTGTTTTTTTTTCCAGTCACATAACTAAAGAGGCTTCTTTACAACAGCAGCAATATTGCAAGGATGGGGAAGAGACTTAGTTTTATGATAGAAGCATCTAGGAAAGTAAGACTCTACTTCATATGCATGTCAAGGGCTAAGAAATAAGCCCAAATAAGAGGGAGAAAAAATTCTTTTTATTTTGCAGCAAGGTCTCTCGTCACTGTGGGTACTCACTGGTCTGGCTAACAAGTGTCAAACTGTGATGCAATATGTACCCACCCAACTCACCAACAGGAAGGTCGCAAAAGAACTGTAGCTTGGTGTTTCATCATTGCGTGGTACTCGTGTGATATCTTTAAACATCTGGAACGCCTTATCATTACTGCTGGTGGTGGTGTGTAACCTGCCAGCCACTGAGTAAGGAGCAATGAGAGCTAATCCTGGTACAGCACGAGAAACCTGTCAGGGGAATAAAGCTTGGCTAAGTCCTGGCCTAGAGCTATTAGTCTCAGGCCAGTGGTCCAGCTCTGTTGGTCACTCTTCCCTGAGTTAGAAATGGATTTACAAATGCTGGACAGCATTGAAAAAATATCCCAGAAAATCTCAAGCTATAACCATCATTTACATGGTTTGTTGTGTCTAGATACACAGGCACCTTTTTTCCCAGTTGGCTCCTATACAGCCCCGGCATGCGATTAGAGTGGGCAGAGGATTAATATACTTTTTAACAATACCAGTCAGTCACATAAGGCCAAGAGATAATTTCTTTTTAAAGTGTGCTATCAATCTGAGTGTGATGTGTGACTGGCTTTCCAGTTGGAGTATAAGCCTCAGAAAGAGCTCGCCACCCAGCTCCCTGCCTCCCTTACAGAGGATTTTGCAATGAATTTTGACCAAAGAACATCCAGAAGCCAAAGAATCCCAGTGCCTCCTTTCAGGTTATGAGACTTGATGTGCAGAAACATATAAGGTCAGGACCAAAGGAGGGACCAGATATACCTGCTACCCTATGCTATTACCTAAGGCCCCCTTACATACATTTGGTCCTTGCCATCAATCGATGAAGTCATGACTATCAGGGATAATTGAATCAAGGAGTATACATGTTTAAAGGATCAGTTTTAAGAGTATTGATAACCTTCCTAGTAAATCTCCACCCAAATAATCCTGTTATTTGTAACACATGTCTTCAGATTTTCCCTAAGAATGTTAAAGAGAGTACTCAGTGGAAAAGAGGAGTCATATGGGAAGGCATTTTTTTTTTTTAAATCAGCGAATCAGTCTTTCATTTTGCTAGAATGTCAACAGCAGTAATTCTCAAGTCTAACTAATCCCTAAACACACCAGGAGAAAAATAATTAAGCAGATTCTTTGTAACTCTTAGATATTTCTCGTTCATTGGTTTGGGGTGGGTCCTAGGAATCTCGATTTTAGTAAATTCCATACTAAGATGTTCTGTTGGGACCAACTGGCCCAATGGCATTTGAAAACAGACAGTCGACATTAAAGTTAAAATTAAGTCTTTTGAGTTATCATACACCTTTGACATACTAGCAGGCGTTAGGCAGTGGAATGCGCCGTTCTGTAAACAAACACAGCGATAGTCTGCGATAAACGCAGTTAGGGTAGTGTGTGTGAGAAATGTTGAGGAAAAGCTATCAGGATGTAGCGGCAGACTGCGCTGATAAATGCTGTATGAGTCACTGCGGGTGAGATGCGATGTGGGAAAGCTAACAACAACATCAGAGATTCCACATCATGCTTCAAACACATTTCCAGAACTCCCGGGAAATAATGTCTAAAACAAAGCCAGGAAGTCTTTAGTGGTAGTGGTACCTGTCTAGATCTTGTTAGAGTGACAAAGGAAGCCCTTGGTCCTCCCACTCACCCAAGTGCCTCCCCGTACCAGGGAGCTGCAGTTCTCAGAATCTCAGTTCTCAGTACCTCTTGCGGACAGCAAAGACCAAGGAGGGGAACCTAGAGATACTGGCACGTTTGCTGGCAAACAATGGCAGGTGTTAGTTCGGATTGCATATGGAAGACCCTGAGTGTTAAAATCCTGCACTTGACTGAGGTAATAGCAATAGACAGATAGCAGGGTCGTGATTAGGGGCAGAACTTAACTGGAGAAAAGAGAGCAAAAAGAAGGAAATGAATGTGTTGTGTATGGAGAGTAGTCATTTTAATGTTAAATGGTTAATGAACCATAGGAATCAGAATATTAGATTTATATATGCTATGCTTTTTTGTTGTTAAGACTTAATGTGAGGAAGTGCAGAAACAGACAAAATATTTGAGCTTCAGTTGTCTCAACAGCTCTGTCAGTCAGGTATGTGGGATACCTAGCAGGTCTTGGGAAAAAACTTATGAATAAAATCAGAACGGTTCTCTATCAAACATTCTAAGATGATTTCATGTCAAGTATTCACAGACTGTCCTAAAAAATAGAATAGCAAGGAACATTTCCAAACCCATTCTCTGAGGTCAGTATCTCTGTGATGCCAAACCGAAAACATCAAAGGAAAATGAAATTGCAGACAGCTATGAGTATAGACATAAGAATTCCCAGTACAGTGCTAGGAAGCCAGCACACACTAGGCATTATGCACGCAGTGAAAGGCTTATCCTAGGGAGGTAGATTTGGTTTCACATTTGCAATCAACTTAGTTCAATTCACTGCATCAATAGAAGAAAAAAAACCGTATCATCGCCATAGAGAAAGCATTTGACGAAACTCAACATCTTTTCACGATGGAAAATAAAGCAAGGAAAGGATTGAGAAAATTTTCTCAACTCAGCAAAGGGCATTGACAAAACCTCACCACTGCTGGGGGGAGATGGAGCAGCAGGAAGCAGAATCAAAGGCTTAGAGATGAGGGAGGAAGAGTTTGTGAAAGTGTCTTTATTCATGGGCGACCTGATCATGCGTGTGGAAAATTCTTACAAAATTCACTAAAAAATCATTAGAACTTATCAATCAGTTTAGCAAAATTTCAGGATCTAATCCAATAAAAATGAAATGTCTTTTCAGATACTTACAATAAACAATGTAAAAAAGAAATTCGGAAAAAGATATGTGCAATGGCATCAAAGAGAATAACACACGAGGAAATACATTTAACAGAAGGAGTGCAAAGCTTGCTCTACAGAAACTACAAAACACGGTTGAAGTACAGTAAAGAACAGTTCAATAAAGTGAAAGATATTTCACTTATAGGGACTGGGGTATTGCCAAGACGCAGGACTCCTCAAATTGACCCCCCCCCTTAAGTTTAACATGATTTCTGTTCAGGTCCCAACTGGTGTCCTTAAAGAAATTATCCACTTGATTCTACAGTTTCATAACAGTATTACAAGGGACATTGGAGCAGCATTAGTTACAGTATTGGAAACAGGCAGAATCTGAAGACAAATCAAATGTCTATCAGTCAGCGAATAAATAAACAAACGTGGTATGCTGTGCAAAGAAATAACTGACCAAAAGCATACATAAAAGTTACTCGCAAATCAAAGCATGATGATCCTTGGAAACAGTGTGTTAGTGAGGGACAATTGTGAAGGACAATGCATTATCATCCTATATGAAATGTCCAGAATGCCTAAATTTAGGCAGACAGAGTGTAGACGAGTGGTTGCCTGCAGTCAAGAACACTGTGGGGAGACACAGTTGGCAGGTAGAGTTCCATTTTTCTTTATGGGGTTATGAAAATCTTCTAAATTTGATTGTGAGGATGGCTGTACAATGGCTATATTGAAGACCCTTTAATCCCTTTGGAAACTTTATTTTAAATGGGTGAATGGCAAGGTATGTGAATTGTATCTTGATAATCAATTGCCCCATACTGAAACAAAACAAAAGGATGTTAATGAGTTCACTTAAAGATTTTAATGTAGTCTATTATATATGAAAATAGATTTAAACTATGCCTTTCAAGCTCTAAAATAAATTTATAAGAGCTTTAGAAGCAACACAAATTTTATCTACTTTAGAAAATAATCCAAGCAGGGTATGATCCAACACCCTGGAGGCTGAAAAAGAACAATCCTGAGTTAAGTAGCTCCTGTCTAAGGGGACAAACACCATCTTATTACAATTGGGTTGGATTTATTCTGACACCATGTCCAGTTTCCACATTCGGTGGGATGAAGCTTTCAGAAGTTTCTTATCGCTCTGTGTTAGGGCTGTAAATTGGCATTGTGCATTTAAACACATTTCCAACTGCTGGTAGGATTTGGGTGAAGCTGTGGCAATCCCCTCAGTTCCCACAAAGCTGAGCTCCCCGGGGGCCCCTGCTTAGCACATGTGATACCGTGACATTTAGCGACAATATCTGAAAAGCAATTTTGATGCTATGAATATTTCCCCAGATCATTCTTAATACGAAGGGAGCGTTATTAAACCCTCTTTCTCATTTGCTTCTCTCTCCCAGCATCTCATGAACACGGTGGTTACCCTGGCAGCTCCCTCTGTCCTTGGTTGTACTCACTCTTCCTTTGGCTCCTAAACTTGCCAGCCCTGTGCAGATAGCAACTGGCATTCCTATGTCATGTCATCCTCGATGTCCGCACTCTGCTCATTAGCCCCACATTCTGTCATTTCCCGTGGAAACCAACTCGGTCCCACTTTATCCGCCTGTCACTTTTTATCCTGCTTTTGTGCCACAAATAAAGATCATAAACACAGAGTTCACACTGACAGACAAAGGAAAGGAAGAAGCTGTGTATTGTTGTTACTGACAACGTCCAACATACTTAAAAACCAGAAGTGACAGGATAGGACTGGGGGTGTTATTGGAACTTGTGAAAGAGAAAGTGGATCTCATTCTGCGTGTTCTGGAATCTTCTACTTCCTGGGAGCAGCCGGGACATCATTTGGTTGTCTGTCTTCATCATCCACCTGGTTTGAGGCAGAATCTCTGGTTGAGTGCTGAGCACACCAGCCTAGATGACCTATGAGCCCCTGAGGATTCTCCTGCCTCAGTTTCCCATCTCACATGGGCATGTTTATGTTCTATCACATGTGCCTTTAATTTTTAGGTAGCTTCTAGGGCATTGAACACTGGTCCTCCTGCTTGCACAATGTGCCGTCTCTCCATCCTCAGAGAATTACTGGGAAGCTTAGCTGTTTCTGGTCATGGTGACTGTCATTGTTTTAAACCTCAGAAGCCATGGCTCCTCCATTTCCATTATTCCCCTCTGATGTATTGACCCCCAACCCCCCAAGGTCGATAGAATACAAAGGACTTAAAGATCTAAAAGAATCCGAAATGAGCCTAGTTTTTAACATGAAAACCTCAAGAATGATTCTTTAAATACCAACCCAAACCAGGCTGCAAGGGGTTGAGACATTATCAATTCCCCGAGCATTCTGATTGCTTTTCAAGTTATTCACCAGTCAATAGTATTTATTGAGTGAGTGTCCTCTGTGTATCAGGCGCCAAATTAGCTTGCAAATTGCGTGTTCTGCAAAGCGAGCTCTCTCACCCCTTGGCCAAAGCAAGTATATCTTTCTCGGCAGATGAACTCCTTCTGGGAGTTCCATGGCATTCTGGATGCCTCTGTGTGAGAGCTGAAGAGACTGGTAGTCTAAGCTCATAGAAATAGAAGAGACAAGCTGCTCTTCCCTCCCCATGCCCCTATTCATTCTCTTCCAGGTTGAAAGTTGAAGTACAAATCTGAAATGCACATTGGGACAGCCTAGGCAGACTCTAGCAGCTTCTTGGTGGGAGATGACTTCCCTAGCTGCTACCTACCTATTCTGTCATCTAACAGTGGTCTTTCTTCTACCTTGGAGCCTTTTTCTGAGAAAGGCGGACCATGGGAGTCCTGCACAGATGTGTGAGAACCCCTGTTGGGGATGCTAGTTGAGTTCTCTGAGGAGAGATGCCAGGTAAGGTCTCATTAACCACTGAATCAAAACTATTTGCCTCAAATACTCATTGAGAAACTCTTTTTAAAGAGGCAAAAATCAATACTTACCATTTGAATTCTTCTTACCCTGTATTTTTTCCCCTCCAGTTTTGGGCTGTCTTTAAATTTAATAGATCCAGCAAAAAAAGCAGTTGAGGGAGAGGAAAAGAACAGAGCAGGGACTCTTGCTTAGACATATGCAGGTGAAATGCTCTGGGGAACTTGACTTAAATGGCAAAGTTTTTTTTTTCTTTTTTCTTTTTTTTAAAGTTTGACTTCTACACTGTACTTAGATGGATAATGAAGTGCAGGAACAAATAGCAAGATTGATTTTGATAAAAATAGGGTATGAATGTTTTTCCTGCATGTATTTCTGTGTACCACGGGTGTGCCTGGTGCCTTTGCAGGCTGAAAGAAGGCATTCTATCCCCCAAAACTGGAGTTACAGATGATTATGAGCTGCCACGTAGATGCTGGGAATCAAACAGGATCTTCTTTAAGAGCAACAAGTGCTCTTGACATTTGAGACTTGTCTCCAGCCCCATGTACAGCAAGATTGAAGAACCTGGTTTCCCCATCCCCATCCTGCCTGAGGACCCATATGCACATTGTCTGGTTTATTCTTCTCTGGCAGACTCCTAGACCCTGAGGGGCTACATTCATTCTTACATACCTCACACTCTACTTGACCATGGCTGACCTGATGTAAATTCACTTTCTGACATTGAATTCTCTCCCAGAACTCTTTTGTACAAGTCTACTCGTCTTGTTTCCTTGTCAAAAGAGAAGGGAAAGTCTTTTCTGCAACTCAAGAGAGACTGTCTTGTCAAACAGGGCTGGCTCACACTGTGGCCAGGATATCAAGTTCAATTATTTCTTGGGAATTTCTCTGCTGTTTTAACAAGATCAGACTATCCATAGGTGTGGATATAGATATAACTATATCCAAGGGAGTGGCTCAGACATATCCCAAATTTCTATTTTCTATCATCACCATGCATTTTGAACCTGATTGGATAGGGTTCTCTTAAACAATGTTAAACAATGACACTGAAACTTCATGTCTGAAAAAGTGGGTGCTGTAGGAAATACATAGCTGGGAAAATATAAGGAAGAGGAAAAAATCCTTGGGAAAACATCAGATGGTGGACTTTGGGAACTCAGGCTTCTGAGGCTGCCAGAGCTGCTGAGGAGAATTAGGCAGTGGTCTTAGCCAGAGATGAGGAGTGGATCTCCATCACTGAACTGGGCTCTCCCATTGACAACCTGAAGATCAAGACCCTGGAAGAGATCTCCCTGTTCTCCTTGGCCATTAAAGAATCTGAGATGACTGACTTTTTCTCCTGGGAGCAGCCCTACATGAAGAGGGTCTAAAGACCACGCTAGCACAAAAGCAGACTTGAAATGGCCAGTGGATCATCTTCAAGGCTTTGACACTACTGGAGAGGCTACAACGGTCATGTTGGCTTGGGTATTGAGTGCTCCAAAGCAGCAGCCTCTGCAATCTGAGGGCCCATTATCTTAGCAAAACTTTCCATTGTTCCAGTTCAGAATCATTGCTGGGGAACAAGACTGACAAGTCTCACAATGTCCCATGTAAGGTAACAGGCCATGATGATTTTGGGCAGATGAACCATTTTTCATACAGACACTGGCATCATCTTTGCTCTTGTGCCCACGTAGCTGCTGCTAATGGCCAGAGCTGATGACAGCTACACATCTGCTCTACTGCTACCTCGGGCAGCTTCAACCATGTATTTCTGGCTACAACATCCACTAAACTCCTACCCTGGGCGACTTCACCCATACATTTTTGATACTGTCTCTGAGACCTAGTGATAAATGACCGTATATCCCTGGAAAAAAGAATGTATTCACCAAGTTTCCCTATCAGGAATTCACTGACCACTTTTATGGAAACACATACCAGAGTCTCTATTCAGAGAACTCAAATTCCAGCCATGACTACTACACATGATTTTTTTATCCCCTCCCGCAAA